CTCCTGTACGTGTTAAACTATCGCGCCGACCTTCTAACTTTGCACATAAAAAGTTCTCTGTGAAAGATTGTGTGATCTCTGTTCTGTTCATACCAACGTTTAAAGTAGTCTCCCTTACCTGCCTCGATCTAGTCAGTGTTAGAATTAGAGATAACTCCACATCGCGATTCTGATTAATCCGGAGTTATCTTTCCTTTTGATACAAACGTGTGTGGGAGATGTATGGGTGGGGCTGGTGTGTTTTCAGTAATGACATACTCCCTATGGTGACTATGTTGTCTGGTATGTTCTATTTGTTATGTAAATCTAAAAAAAATTATCCAATTATTTTGAAACAACAAAATGGGAAATTTCCGCTAGTTTAAAAATAGCTTGTGAGTGACGAGACTTTTAAATTACACATGCGTCATCCAATTGTTTTTAAATTGACATGAGGGGGATGGGGGGGGCTACTTATCTTACTTGTCACCTTGCAGATAACCCCCTACCCCCTTTTCCAACCCCCCCCCCCTTACACACACACACGTCTAATGACTCCCATTATTGATGCTGGGCGTCAACCCGTATCTATTGCTATTTTTCATACCGTACACGACAAGGGCGATAATCCAGCCACAAGGGAGATAATTATAAAGGTTTAAAGTTATGTTCTTGGCGTCTAGGGTTTGGTTTGTCAGTTGAAAGGTATGCAGTTACGCAACCCGTAGCACATTCTCAAATGTTTTTATGTCTCACGCCTAAAAGTAGAACAAAATTGAGCTGTCAAAGGTGAGGGAGTTATCTGCAGCTTCGTGAATGTTATCGAAAGTAAGGTGGGTTTTTTTTAGTGGTGTCAGTAACGATTTGAACTCAGGTGTGTGGTGGTTAGCAATCGGGTGCTAACTCACTGAACCACCTTTTTTCCATCCAGATTGGCCAAGTATATTTGGAGCCTAAACCACCGACCCTACACTACACTACTTAAAATAACAAACAGACACAGGCATCCAACAACCAATTTAACTAGTGAAACCGTTATCTTAGGTGGGGATAGAATCTGCAATCATCCGTCAGAGACTCTCTCGCACTACATCTCTGGAAGGGATGGTGTTTTGGTAGATGACAAACTTTTTTTTAAACTTACACCCAAAGATCGTCCATTAATATTTTAAATAGATATCAGGTACTCTCATTTCACAGTTGACAATTCAAGGTTCACGTTTCAGTTCACCCTTCACGCATCACATAACCACAATTACATAATAACGTTTTTTTTACATTCGCGCTTCACTCTACACTTGAGTACAACGCACGACACCACACTCACACATCAGACAATTGTGTGCCTACATCAACTACTCACCACCAACCTCACACATCAGACAGTTGTGTGCCTACATCAACTACTCACCACCAACCTCACACATCAGACAGTTGTGTGCCTACATCAACTACTCACCACCAACCTCACACATCAGACAGTTGTGTGCCTACATCAACTACTCACCACCAACCTCACACATCAGACAGTTGTGTGCCTACATCAACTACTCACCACCAACCTCACACATCAGACAGTTGTGTGCCTACATCAACTACTCACCACCAACCTCACACATCAGACAATCGTGTGCCTACATCAACTACTCACCACCAACCTCACACATCAGACAATCATGTGCCTACATCAACTACTCACCACCAACCTCACACATCAGACAATCATTTGCCTACATCAACTACTCACCACCAACCTCACACATCAGACAATCATGTGCCTACACCAATACTCACCACCAACCTCACACATCAGACAATCATGTGCCTACATCAACTACTCACCACCAACCTCACACATCAAACAATCGTGTGCCTACATCAACTACTCATCACCAACCTCACACATCAGGCAATCGTGTGTCTACATCAACTACTCACCACCAACCTCACACATCAGACAATCGTGTGTCTACATCAACTACTCACCACCAACCTCACACATCAGACAATCGTGTGTCTACATCAACTACTCACCACCAACCTCCAAGTTAGCTCACACATCAGACAATCGTGTGCCTACATCAACTACTCACCACCAACCTCACACATCAGACAATCGTGTGCCTACATCAACTACTCACCACCAACCTCACACATCAGACAATCGTGTGCCTACATCAACTACTCACCACCAACCTCACACATCAGACAATCGTGTGCCTACATCAACTACTCACCACCAACCTCACAGCTTACCTTTCCTGCTCACTCACCTGATGAAAAGATCGCCTGCTGTTATTTACTCACTATTCATTTTTATGCACATTGTACTCAGCTATTCACTGTAAACATATTTTACTATCCCTTCCCATTTTAACCATATTTTACTCACCCCCACCCCCCAATTTAACCATATTTTACCCCGTCCCCACCCCCCATTTTAACCATACTTTACTCACCTTCTTTTTCTTTGAACAAATCTAACGCTCCCTATTTAAAAACAACACGTATCCACCCCCCCCCCCCCCCCCCCAATTAAAAACATGTATCCACCCTCCGAATATTTGAACTCAACGTTTTTTACTCACCCTCTGCATTTTTTACCCGAACTTTTTTTGCTTAAACCTTTCACAGTGGGTAAAATTGTGGTGTTTCAAAAATTGTGGTGTTTCAAAAATTGTGGTGTTTCAAAAATTGTGGTGTTTCAAAAAATGAAAACAAATATATTGTTTGTATATTGCTGTGTCGAAGATTTCTTCTACCAAGAATGATGCACACTGCACGTGTGCTATAGCAAGTACCATACAACAGATGTGTGTATTGTGTGTTTGTGTATTATAAAAGATACCACACATTGTTCTAACATTAGTCACCTCTGATAGACATGATTCAGATCGTTTTTAATTAGTGGTTACTATTTTTACATTGGTGCAATAACGTCGATTTATTAACCAACGTGTTATCCATCTATCCATCCATTTATTTATTTATCCATCGATCCACTCATCCACGCATTCATCTGCTCATCCATCCTCGCTTCCGTACACGTATCCATTCATCGGTTGATCCATCTATCCGTCCGTCCCTCCATCCATCGATCTATCTTTCCATCCATAAATCCGTCCACCCATCCATTCAACCATCCACCAATCCACCCACCACACTACTCATCCATCCATCCTCAACATACAGCCCTACTGCACCTCCTAATCCAGGCCATGTAAACATACATCCAACATATTCCACCATCCTGTCTGACCTAGATATTTCTGTTGACTGTACGGCTGCTCCAGGTGGCTCCCCACATCCACAGGAGATGTGGCATTTCATTCACACCTCCACCACATAACGCAGACGTCTAATTTTAGACATGTTTCACAAACCGGCCTCATTACTTAGTGGGATCAGAGAACCGGTTCAAGATCTCGTTTGTAGTTATCAGAAGCCGGCATTCTTGCCACATCTGTGCCCCGCTACTAAAGAAATAATCCAATTTCACATGGCGTTTTTTACACTACGTACGGTACAGCACATTTCGTGTCTTACGGTATATACGGTAGAGCATATTATACTGCTGGCCCATAAATATGATTTCAATTATCTACAACTGTTTTCTGAGCTAAAATTGATTCGGGGCAGGTATTTTTATTATGTTGATGTACTAGTTTTTAACTCGTGAGTGCGCGGGTTTAAGCAAAGCTCTTTTATAGCTGTTGTTAAATTTTGTAAACATAGTTGACGTTTAATTGAAACTTCTCGCGTTTTTTTTTTTCAAATACTCTTTTTGGTTATAAAATTACCTGCTGTTAATATTTAATTCATATTAAACGTGCATATACTATCTAGGGTTTCTTTCAGAGTTTTTTCTCCGGAATGGGGCTTTTGAAATTTAATTTCTGGGAGGGGGGGGGGGGTGGGGATGTAGACACTGGTTAAAGTATATATTTTCTATAAAATAAAAGTTATAAAATTGAATGAGCTATGCCCCCCCCCCCCCCCTTGTATAGATGCGTGAAATTAGCTGTGGTACCAACAATTTCAATCGAGGTTAGGAATCACTAGTCTTTCAAGAAGCGGCTCCGTGTCTATGCTGTTGCTGTAGTTTCTATACCTGTGCAGTGATGGTGTTCTGTGTACTTTATAGTTTACTCTTCGTACTGTGTAATACTTGAAGTGCATAGATTACATATGTATCGTTCTATAACGAGCGCTTTGATCGATGTTATAATCTCGGATTCTGTCTGTTTCATTAGTTCGTGTCACATTGTACTACTCAACTATTGAACGCCGGTGTTTTCATTAAAAGTCAAACATCTATCCATCTTTAATCAAACCTGTGTCTCCGCGTTTCGACTCTTTCATAAATTTCGGCTCCTGTTTCTACTCTTTAAGATTTCAATTGTTACACGTTAATCTACTGCTAAAATTCAATTGTTTCACACCGATATGTAAAGCTTTGTCAGCGAACCTTTCCTTACATTACAGCACGTTGCGTGTACGATAAATGTTACTATTTACCTTTTAGTATTTGTGATGCGACCTCTAGAACATTACAGCGTACTAGCGGAACTAATATCACAGGATGAAATCTTGCCCTAACACCGGCTACACCAGAAGTCGCAGAGCTTTATGAATAAGTTCCAGACTACAATGTATTGCCTCTTCACCTTTTCCATACCCCCCTTCACCTCCCCTCCCACCCGTTTTTTTTTCCATCGGGGCCAGAGATCTCGTTCATACCTCCAGACAATACGGCCCAAATCTAAAAATAGCTCCACCAGAAACGTCATGATCAGATCCTCTGTCTCCTTCACGTTCAGCAAACTTTGAGAACGGGAAAATCCGAAAGATAAACTTGACGGTGCGCACGTTGCCCTCCCCCAATCTCACCTCCCCCCCCCCCTCCCCCGCACACGGCTCACCCACCTATCAAGCGGCACTAAATTTCAGGAAGTATCCCATCAGTGCGCATGCGCGAACGATAGTGCCCAATTAGAAGGTCTAAAGCGTTGATAGTGGCAATGAATTGCTTTGATAAAAAAAAGTTTCATCATGTTGAATTTGAGAAACATTCAAAGAAGTAAACAAATAGTTTACTCTAGTAAACAGATATTTTACTCCTTACTTACTTGTTAAAAACATACCCCATTAAACAAGGTCGCACCCATTGTACAAGTATTTAATGTAAATATATATTTATCTTGTAAACATAACATAATTGTAAATGCGTTTTATTATTTACTTAACGTTGTAATTTGTTCGATAAATAAATAAATATCCATTCAGAAAAGTACACCAAAAATTTTAAAATGTAATTCATCCTTACATTTTAATATGTAATTCATCCTAACATTTTAATATGTAATTCATCCTTCCATTTCAAAATGTAATTCCTGCTTACATTTCAAAATGTAATTCCTCCTTACATTTTAAAATGTAATCCATCCTTATATTTCTAAATGTAATACATCCTTACATTTTAAAATGTAATTCCTCCTTACATTTTAAAATGGAATTCATCCTTACATTTTAAAATGTAATTCCTCCTTATATTTTAAAATGTAATTCATCCTTACATTTTAAATGTAATTCATCCTTACATTTTAAAATGTAATTCCTCCTTACATTTCAAAATGTAATTCCTCCTTACATTTCAAAATGTAATTCCTCCTTAAATTTTAAAATGTAATTCCTCCTTACATTTTAAAATGTAATTCATCCTTACATTTTAAAATGTAATTCCTCCTTACATTTCAAAATATAATTCCTCCTTACATTTCAAAATGTAATTCCTCCTTACATTTTAAAATGTAATTCCTCCTTACATTTTAAAATGTAATTCCTCCTTACATTTCAAAATGTAATTCCTCCTTACATTTCAAAATGTAATTCCTCCTTACATTTCAAAATGTAATTCCTCCTTACATTTCTCAACTTACAGATTCCACTGGGACAGCACACTGAGTGAAATACTTCGGTCCTACCTTGACCTTGATGTGACCCCACCCTGGTCTAACCTGACCTTGAGGGAGATGCTCATCTACAAATCTGGGCCCAGCGCGGCCGACATGAGCACCATGACGGGGCTGCCGCTGGGTGTGGCACGGGAGGAGCTGGTCAGGTAACTAGACGGGTATCACGTGGGGTATCTGGTTGGGTCCCTGCTGGGGTATCTGATGGGATATCTGGTGGGGTCTGGTGGGATATCTGGTGGGGTCTGGTGGGATATCTGGTGGGGTCTGGTGGGATATCTGGTGGGATATCTGGTGGGGTCTGGTGGGATATCTGGTGGGGTCTGGTGGGATATCTGGTGGGGTCTGGTGGGATATCTGGTGGGGTCTGGTGGGATATCTGGTGGGATATCTGGTGGGGTCTGGTGGGATATCTGGTGGGGTCTGGTGGGATATCTGGTGGGGTCTGGTGGGATATCTGGTTGGGTCTGGTGGGATATCTGGTGGGGTCTGGTGGGATATCTGGTGGGGTCTGGTGGGATATCTGGTGGGGTCTGGTGGGATATCTGGTGGGGTCTGGTGGGATATCTGGTGGGGTCTGGTGGGATATCTGGTGGGGTCTGGTGGGATATCTGGTGGGGTCTGGTGGGATATCTGGTGGGATCTGGTGGGATATCTGGTGGGGTCTGGTGGGATATCTGGTGGGGTCTGGTGGGATATCTGGTGGGGTCTGGTGGGATATCTGGTGGGGTCTGGTGGGATATCTGGTGGGGTCTGGTGGGATATCTGGTGGGATATCTGGTGGGGTCTGGTGGGATATCTGGTGGGGTCTGGTGGGATATCTGGTGGGGTCTGGTGGGATATCTGGTTGGGTCTGGTGGGATATCTGGTGGGGTCTGGTGGGATATCTGGTGGGGTCTGGTGGGATATCTGGTGGGGTCTGGTGGGATATCTGGTGGGGTCTGGTGGGATATCTGGTGGGGTCTGGTGGGATATCTGGTGGGGTCTGGTGGGATATCTGGTGGGGTCTGGTGGGATATCTGGTGGGATCTGGTGGGATATCTGGTGGGGTCTGGTGGGATATCTGGTGGGGTCTGGTGGGATATCTGGTGGGGTCTGGTGGGATATCTGGTGGGGTCTGGTGGGATATCTGGTGGGATATCTGGTGGGGTCTGGTGGGATATCTGGTGGGGTCTGGTGTGATATATGGTTCTGGTGGTGTCTGGTGGGGTATCTGGTGGGATATCTGGTGGGATATCTGGTGGGATATCTGGTGGGGTATCTGGTGGGATATCTGGTGGGGTCTGGTGGGATCTGTGGTGGGGTCTCTTGAGGGGTTTCTCGAGGGGGTCTCTCTTGGGGTATGGTGAGCTATCTGCTGGAATATCTGCTGGGGTATCTGCAGAGGTATCTGCTGGGGTATCTGCGATGGTATCTGGTGTGGTATATGCTATTATTACCGTTTTCTGGACAATAAAACAGAGAACTGTAAAAAGAAAACAACATGTTCTTAAAATAAAATAAACACATCTAGTCCATTCTATCCATTTCGTCTTTAAAATGCCTTAACGATGATATAAACATAATTAGTTTATAATTAAAAAGGCCATGGGAGCGGACGCAGCATAAATTACTTAATTAACATAAATTAACGTCTGCACAAATGTGTGGCACTACAAGATGGCACTGACCTCAAATAGATCCTGAGTTCACATACAAGTGAAGTGGATTTGAACTCGTACATAAACTCATACATAAACTCATACATAAACTCATACATAACCTCATACATAACCTCATACATAACCTTATACATAAACTCACACATACTCATACATATACTCATACGTAATTTCATATATAAACCCATACATAAACTCATACAAACACTCCATGACCTATGTTAAAAAACCCATGCACTCTATTCTTTAACTTTATAGCTTAAAGTAGTCAGCAACATTTTGTCTGCAGGGTGGGGGGGGGTCATGGTTTATGATCCCGATTACCTCTAAAACCATAGGTTGGCTGGAGTGTGTGTGCGGGGGGGGGGGGGGGGGTAAGATTTAGAATCCAAATGAGCTCTACAGTACCTGTGTTTACCATAGACTAGCTGGTCTGTGTCCAGCACTTTAGATTGGTGAGTAGACAAATAACCACAGCTGTTGTCTGCTACTCATTGCAAGAACTCCTGGGGGTTGGGTGGGGGTAGGGGGTGTTAAGGTGAGGTGTTGGAATGGTCATTTAAAAACAGTTTTTAACTTTTGAATAGATTTATCATTAGTTAGAACACTCACACATACATGTGTATTTACTAATGATAAAGAAATATATATATATATATATATATATATATATATATATATATATATATATATATATATATATATATATATATATATATATATATATATATATATATATATATATATATATATATATATATATATATATATATATATATATAATATACATATATAATATACATATACATATACATATACATATACATATACATATACATATACATATACATATACATATACATATACATATACATATACATATACATATACATATACATATACATATACATATACATATACATATACATATACATATACATATACATATACATATACATATACATATACATATACATATACATATACATATACATATACATATACATATACATATACATATACATATACATATACATATACATATACATATACATATACATATACATATACATATACATATACATATACATATACATATACATATACATATACATATACATATACATATACATATACATATACATATACATATACATATACATATACATATACATATACATATACATATACATATACATATACATATACATATACATATACATATACATATACATATACATATACATATACATATACATATACATATACATATACATATACATATACATATACATATACATATACATATACATATACATATACATATACATATACATATACATATACATATACATATACATATACATATACATATACATATACATATACATATACATATACATATACATATACATATACATATACATATACATATACATATACATATACATATACATATACATATACATATACATATACATATACATATACATATACATATACATATACATACACATACACATACACATACACATACACATACACATACACATACACATACACATACACATACACATACACATACACATACACATACACATACACATACACATACACATACACATACACATACACATACACATACACATACACATACACATACACATACACATACACATACACATACACATACACATACACATACACATACACATACACATACACATACACATACACATACACATACACATACACATACACATACACATACACATACACATACACATACACATACACATACACATACACATACACATACACATACACATACACATACACATACACATACACATACACATACACATACACATACACATACACATACACATACACATACACATATACATATACATATACATATACATATACATATACATATACATATACATATACATATACATATACATATACATATACATATACATATACATATACATATACATATACATATACATATACATATACATATACATATACATATACATATACATATACATATACATATACATATACATATACATATACATATGCATATGCATATGCATATGCATATGCATATGCATATACATATACATATACATATACATATACATATGCATATGCATATGCATATATATATCTATATATATATATATATATATATATATATATATATATATATATATATATATATATATATATACGTGTGTGTATGAGCGTGTTTGTGTCTATATAGTCAGTACTTTGTTTATCATTTATCATTGACCCCGAAGCGCGTGAGTTCATGACTCCGTCAATGTAAGCCCCGCCCACTCACCTGTTCCAGCCTTTGTCCCACGTGATCGATATGTCGCGGCAGGTAAGTGCCCCAAGATGCCAGACGAAGTAAAGATTTCTGCCGAGACCACAACCAAACTGGCACCTGGCCCGGCAGACGTTTGATCCCGCCGTAATCTGGACGAGAGACAAACGGAGCTGAAGTTGCCTTTGAAATCGATCACGGAAAAATTCCTCAGGAGAATTCCGTTGGTTGATAGTGGTTGTTTCCGGCCAGCTGGGGTGTATGAGTGATCATTCATTATGTGAATGGTATCACAGGGTATCTCACAGCTTAAGGAGTGGGTGATCGGATGAGAAAACGCACCACTGCTAATCCGAAAGATTCTGAGCCTACCAAGCTCTGATGGGTACCTTACTCAGGTTAGAGAAAATTAAGGCGGCTGGGTACAATGCTGACGCTGCTATTCTTTTATAATCAGAAGCCATTAAAATAGATTAAATCTACTTCACCTGCCCCATGCGTCTTGGCACTAATGGGAAAAGACAGCTTAATTTAATTTAAACCAAAACTGTAACTGAACTATAAAAGCTACACATGATCATCCCCCCCCCCCCCTCCCCTTCAACCATAAGTAAACCAAAACATTAAACAACCAAAACCTAACCATTAACCAAAACTTAACTATCACGTGAAGTGTCTAACCAATCAGCTCCAACCGTATATTTTTTCCTCCCACAGGCGGTCCCGGTTTCTCCCCCAAGAGGACGAGTTCCGAGGTACGAACCACTACAGCAACTACATGTACACCATCGTCAGCTACCTGGCCGAGAGGATGTCGGGAAGGTCATGGAACGACCTTGTCAAGGTGCACGTGCTGGACATACAGAACATGAACGGCTCGTTCTCCCCCGAGGGCATGGGTCACATCGACGCCGCCCTACCCTACAGGTTCGACCCCACCCGACACGCAGAGTTTGAGGTCCAGAACAGGACGCTGTTTAAGTAAGTGATGTCATTCTGTCCGTCAGACTTTAGTTCGTTCTCTCGATCTCAGAGGCGTAGCGGCCCTTTTTTCGATATGCACCCCCTCAAGATTTCGATTTACACCCCCTCCCCCTCAAACTTTCGAGTTGCACCCCCCCCCTCAAGATTTCGATTTGCACCCTCACCCCCCTCACCCCCCGTCAAACTTTCGATTTGCACCCCCTCAACCTTTCAATTTATTTTTCCAACCCATTTTGGCGCCCCCTAAGGTCGGCGCCCGGGGACGTATGTCACCTCCCCCCCCCGTCCACCCCCCGTCCACCCCCCTCGCTACGCTACTGCTCGATCCTGACGTCATCGCATCGTTCGGTATGACGTCATCACGTTTTGTCCATTAAAACTCGTTTAATGCGTCATTAAGTTTCGCCAATCTAACATATCCGTTTATTATCTGGATGCGCCACTGAGCAGATACTGAGCGAGTGAAAACACCAACAAATGCATACAACGTCCTATGCTTATAAGCGCCATTTACACAGACTTGTAAGAATAAGACCTCCAATGCTCTCATTCGTGTAATCAATCAGCATTAACTTAAGTTCTATGAATGGCTAAATGTGACGCTTATATCCAGTGATGTAGCTATACAGCTGTTTATCCTGGTAACCGGTAGTTACAATGTGGATACTGGTTAGTGGTTACCAAGGTCAACAAATGTTAGTGGCGGACTGGGGGAGGGGGTGGCGGATGGACACTGGTTAAAGTATATATGGATATAACATATATTTTTTTTCTTTTTCGTCCGGGGGGTAGTGAGGAAGTATAAGTCCTCTTGGGAGGTTGGGGGGGGGGGCGAAATGATGCCTAAAATAACTGCTGGCGCTTGTTATGTTGAGATGAAGTTTGAATTTCTGGCATGGTTTCCGGTGACCCCATGCAACCAAAAGACGCTGACTCGGTCTTTTAGCTGGCTACACCTGGGTCTAATTTAACTCTAGTAAACTAAAAACAACAAACGGTGTCTCGTGATTCCATAAGTCAGTGGATGTCTTTTTAGAAGTGGGAAAGGTCAAGCGATGACGTCACGAGTGCGCCGCCATCGCTCGGGTCAGCTGACGTCACGCCAGTTATGTAACCGGAACTTCCCGGAATTCCCCGTAGTCCAAGATCAAACCCTGCACGTGACATCGCTCAACTTCCTGTCCCAGTGCCAGATGTGTCCTGGGAAATTTAATTACGGCGCCACCAAAAAGAATGATCTCCCCTGCTATTCTTTGAGGCAACATGGGAGATAACCTCGGTGCTGCACGCTTGGTGCCAACAAATAAATATTGACCTCATATTTGGTTCTTGAGTTTCTAAACAAATTGTCTGTGTCTTATACATCACGCACAGAATAAAATGCCGTATGTGGTGCGTTGGTTTCGCCTGGGAACAGCCAGAGGTGAGGCTGAGGGGGAGGGGGGGATGGTGGAAGGGGTTGTCGAACCTGGGTGAAAAATATATTGTTTTAAACCTGTATGGCACATTCTGATTAGAGTCCACACCTTGCTCTGGCTACTACACTATAGACTATCACACAAGTAGCATTTCATAGACAATCACACACGTATCATTTGACGGACTATCAGCCAAGTATCATTTGGCACTATAGGCTATCACACAACTATCATTTGACAGACTATCACACAAGTAGCACTTGACATAATAGAGTATCACACAAGTAGCATTTGACACTACAGGCAATCACACAAGTAGCATTTGCCATTATAAACTATCACACAAGTATCATTAGATAGACTAAATAAATGACATAAGTATCATTTATTTTCATATTTGTATCATTCACAACTTACCTTCTCTGCTTACTTTCACCATAGCCCTGATCCGACTTATTTATAGTTGATGTATCATCTTGGCCTAATTTCAGTTGAGCGAAGATTTATAAAAACCTATCACAGCTCCTCCATCCCCGTCAGATATAAAGATGTATACGATTGGCTACAATAATGTACGCCTTCATGACGTAACGCGGCCGTTATTGCATAATTTAAACACTGCAGCTGTTGTGGATTAGGTTATCTTTATAGCCACTTACCCTCAAAGGCTGGTTAGGGTTAAATCTTAGTGTATCAGTTAAGGTTTCCAAGTGAAATCTGCGGTCTCAGACAGAAGTAATTAGTCCCGTCTGTTGACAGTTGTAGTTAATGGTGGTCGTGTGTCTCTGTGCTGTTGGGTGGGGTATGGTGGGGTAGGGTGGGGCATGGTGGAGTAGGGTGGGGTAGTGTGGGGTATGGAGGGGTAGGGTGGGGTATGGAGGGGTAGTGTGGGGTAGGGTGGGGCATGGTGGGGTAGGGTGGGGTAGGGTGGGGTTTGGTAGAACAATCTGCGATGGTCATTGGATAGGTCATCGGTCATGATTGGTCAATGTAAGATGGTCACTGGATGTGATAGATACGATTGAACAATCTATGATGGTCATTGGATGTGACATGATGGTACAATGTATACTCGTCAATGCGATGGTGATTGTATATCAGATTTACATTTAACTAAGTTATTTAATCCCTCTATACACAACCTCCATGTTATTTTCTCCCATCTAAAAATATTTAGCAAGCCGCGCAGAAAGTACACGTTCCGATTCAATATACCCAACCTACGGTAAATCAGGTGTAAAATCTTTTCTATATAAAAGTGCTGATTATTATGTACCAAGTGTATTTATCTACTTCATATGCACATCGAAACTCCGAGCCCTTGATCCTGTTTTCTAACCCAGCACACAGATTAAAGCTTTCTAAACTTTGCTTGAAGCTTTTAACAATGCCAATATACCAATACAGTCAAGTCCATCTGTGACCTACTTAGGTCGAGTCAGGTTCCATTTTTATTTTGACATTGTATAATACCTTATATGGAATGATTGTGTAACTCCTGGGGTTTTTCCACTGTCTTATTAAGGTGTCTAAGACGTAGAAATTTTCCATTAAGATCTGATTGAATGATTCTGATCATATGACCCTCCCAACCAATGGCTACATGAGTTGAGGATGACCTCCCCTGTGGCAGAAGTCTTTAACTGCCCCGCACACTCGCCACACGTGGCAGTTTACCTTGATCAGGCCGTCTACCTTGATCAAACAGTCTATTAAGACCATTGCCGTCCATATTGTCCGGCAACAGATTCTGACCATTTGAACGTGAGAGAACTTAAGTCCTGTGTGTGCTATGCTTTCTTAAGTTGATTTAGTCTTCTAGTATAATATTACTTGTCGCCAAGTAATTCTTGAAGCTATAGCAGTGTTGTGTGGCCTGTGGCTATTTTTAGACAGTGTAGAAATCTGTGATAGTGTTTTTTCTTACATTTTGTAAGTTGGGTTTTGATATTTTATACATTAAATATTTTATCTAGTTTAACCTGGTGTTCTGCCACAACTGTGTTCGCTTATTAAAGGTTGTATGCAGATTGGATGAGTGTTAATTTCAATAGTATCACTAGTCTTCCCTAGACATCGAATTCGAGCCCTAGTGTGTCATTGTGTTAGTGTTCATCCATTTAGGCTGTAAGGCATTTGCATATAACCCCGAAAAAAGAATCCGGGGACGTTCTCCTTCTATCTGGCTGATAGATAGGTAAACGTTACACCATCCAACAAGCTGCATGACGTTTTATTCGTTGATATCCTTGCAGTTGGTGCCGAAGTGTCAAATCACACATTTTAAAATCTCTTTTCAAGTTTTAAACACCAAGTCTAGGTTTGTGGGAGAAAAATCCTCGATTTCTTTGACTTGTGAAAGACGAATATTTGTTCAGATAAAAGTGATATGTGCGTTGGAGATTAGCAGGCCCCGCAATCCTTGCCGTTTAGAGTTACGTCCCTTAAAATGTTGACTGTGAGGCATTCTGGCACAAACGATCGTGACTTTAAACAAAGATGGCGGACGATTTGATGTCCAATTTCTCTCTCGTCAAACATCATCTTGCTGACTCAGATCTCGAGAGATCTCGGATCTCGCGTGATCTCAGGAATGTTGACTACTTGAGCAGACGTAGAACATCTTCAACTGCGATTCTTGATATTTATTGCCCCTTCAGAGAACTTGGATACGAACAACACCAACTTGTAAAAGTCGGTCAAATGTCTACGAAATAAAATAACAATGTTTATTTTAGGTTCTTTTAATAGGTATCGTCTTCATTTTTTTTCTATTTCGTTCCTTTTGGACCATACGACCATAGGACCTCTGTCAAAGCATTCCACTCCCCACGATATCTTGTCACTCTTTTTAGCTGTTCTTAATTCCCTCCTCCATTTCGGCATCCTCCTTAATTTTATTTTAGAGTTAACTTCATAATTACAAATTAATTACATAAAAATAGTTATTCATATAGGCCTAAATATTTGTTTGCCTAGATTCGCAAATAGCGATACTTCAACTCATAAATCAACTCCAAAGAAACCGTTGTTAAAATGTTATCGTTGGCCATTTCAGCTCACTGAATAAGTGGGTAATTCCGGTCACAGGGAATCTTAAAAATCGCGATTAAAAAGAAGGTGAAACGCTACGGATAAAAGCAAATCTAAGCTACGTGATAAAATGAATGGACTTGAATATTGTGTGGGTCTATGTTTACTTCTAAGTTCTTTCTTCATTCACCACATCCATATGTTTGCTTAGCGTACAAATCCACGATACTAGAATGTAAACCGGGTGTTGGGTACAAAAAGTTGAAGTTTTCAACGCTAAACTTAATTTTTTTTTTAACTTTTTTTTTTCGTATGAGCGTTGGCCTAGTTTTCCATGTTACGATCATAAATTCCTGGCTGTCTGCATCAAATTCAAAAACCAAACCCCAAAAGCCATGGAACAAACGCAACATTTGATGCAGTCTAACATTTGATGCGGCGATAAATAGCAGACGGCAAATGACTTTACCACCAGGGGGACGAGCAGACGACATGAGCATTTCATCAAGACAAAAAAAACCTTTGTTTGAAATTAAAGACTGAATTCCTGAAATAACATCAGCGTTTATTAAAAAATAAATAACGAACACTCTTCGCATGCAGTTTTTATCTGAAGTTTCATTAAGATATGGATGTTTTGTGTACAAAATATGGCTGTTTGATGGGTGGGAGAGTTGAAGATTCATCTTTATAACTGTGTACAAGTTTTTTTATTGCTTTGACCTGCATACTTGTGTGACCCCCTTTTTTCTTTTTTATAAAAACCGATTTCCAACTAACACATACAAAAAATAACGATTAAGATTTTAAACAATCAGACCAAAGCAGGCTAAAGAAAGTTTAATTTTCCGAAACTCAGCTCCTGTGGACAAGTCGCATAACGTACCTAAGCGAGTGTGGTCCATTCATTAGACGCAAATTAAAATAGATCGAATATGTCACGTGACGAACTCAGCTCCTGGGCGAGGCGCTAATCTTAACGACCACATCAGCCCTGATGTATGCTGGGTGGAATAGCCCAGCAGTAAGGAATAAACTAAGAGAAACGACGGCACGTAGGTGTTTACACCTCAGCCACTAGATCTCAGAGGGGAAAAACAACGGATTTAACTGTGCCAGTTTCTCTATTATCTATTGCCGTAGTTTTCAAGATATATATATATATATATATATATATATATATATATATATATATATATATATATATATATATATATATATATATATATAAAGGCCTATATATTAATTTATGGGATATATATATATATATATATATATATATATATATATATATATATATATATATATATATATATATATATATATATATATATACATATATATATTAGTAGCATTTAAAAACACATAACAGTTTTCAGTGTACTAATAACAAGAAAATAAGCAAGAATTTCCTTCAGCTTTATTGATAAAAACAAAAGCTTTTGTCGCCTCAGAAATCTCATTACATTTTGCGACCAAAACTTCACATTTTTACAATTAAACTAACTCTGTTGGTGACTAAATGTGTGTAATAATTACATCCAAGGCATCAAAATGAAATGATTCTGCCTTTCAGCCTCCACCCATTCGAAAGTGTTGGGTCTCTGATGGTTTCAGCTGGCGATATTGTCAAATGGCTCAGGCATCTCATCCACGTTTTAAATGACAAGGGAGACGACCCAGAAATAAATCAACTCATCAAAGACGCTTTTCAAACGTGGGTTGCTGTTCCTGAAGGACACCAGGAATCTTCTGTGTCTCACGATTCTGAAGTGGCGGAAGGTTATGGCATGGGGTGGTACGTGTCTACATACAACGGTGAGCAGAGTTTTATATTCATAAGTTAGGTTTAGGTTTATGTTTCAATTCGAAAATGTAAGGGTGTGGCGCTTCTTCAAAAACGTTTTGCTGAAGTAAATAAAATGGTCATTTTATATAAGTGGTCGATTCTCAAAATTCAAATAAAGTGTTCAAAATATTAAATTCTAGAAAACGTAGTAATTACTAGAGATCTAATTAATTAAAAAGTAATTATTCAAAATATTTAAGAAAAGCTCAATCTGAACTAGACCTAGACTTTCAAATTAAGTAATATTAATTGTTGTCTCGGCAGACTCATAATGACATTATAAAGTGATGTCTAAAATTGTATTAAAAATGAATTGACTAACAAGATGCGTTACATATATTAAGTCTATACTTCATGTCTCACAATGTTGAACTACTAGAAAAAAACAGTGTTTTTAAATAATTTTTATAAATGGATAAATAATCTATAAATAGGCCTATTTGTTAAAATAAAAAAAATATAACATTTACACTGATTGTGCTTTGATGAAATAATCGCCTTACTTATCACCTTATTTATTTAATTTTTTTTAATAAAATTTATTTTATTTCAGGTTTTAAAAGGTTTAAGTTCAGCGGCAGTTTGTATGCCTACAACTCCCAGATTTGGCTGTTCCCTGAACAAAAATCTGGCATCTTTATTGCAGTGAATGGACCAGGAACCGATCAATCCCAGTATGCTCTTGACAGCATCATGTATTACATCTCAGACATTGTTCTAAGGAAAACCCCTTGGATCAACAAAACCCAGCTCTGTCCAAATAAAGACGCAGATCCTGAAATTGACCCTGAAGGTGATGACGCTGCTCCTTTACAAACTAGAATAATCCAGTATTTAGCCCCAGTTGAAAATTATATTGGCACCTATGGCCATGGTATTGTAGGAAATGCTGTTGTTGAATATACCAGCAGTAAAATTTTAAGGTTGAAGATTGGACAGAATTTAATTGGTGAATTGATACCTGATGGCTCTGAAAGCAGAATGAAATTTTTGGCAACTGGCGCTCTGCTTAACACGGAGGAATGGAAGGATGAGAAAACTGTGGAGTTTTTAAGTTTGGAGAGCAACCGTTTCACGATGGTTAGAATTCACATCAATGATAAATTGTTCTATGAGTTTAAACGAGGTTCGTTGTTTGAAACAATGCTGGAGTTAGCGGAGGCTGAAGACGAGAGACTTCTACGAGAGCACCACAGTACTGCTACGGTAACAGTGCCCCCCACCACCAATGACAATGTACATGTCAGTGATGTACATGTGACACAACCATCTGTCACTGACTCTACGTCACATGTAGACGCCAATGAAAACGAACATGCCAGCGACCCCCATACAACTCAACCAATTGATACTGACACGTACCCTACAGAGTCTTCCGAAGTCACGGATACTGTTGACATATACACACCTCAAAGCCTTGAAAATGAAATCACGAATGAAAACGACGTCGAAAGCACAGAGCAAACAGGCAGCCATTTCTCACATCTAGCCAGCAATGAAATCCACCCCAACGAAACTGGCCATCACCATGGAGACACAAAACACATCACCAGCGACTTGTCTGGCCACAACAATGAAATACCCCCGTACAATGTCAACGTACCAGACACTGAAGAAAAAGATCATTCTACAAATGATCTTGACAAGATCAATACTCTTAACCCCGATAGCCCACAGAGCCACGAACCTTATTCTGATGAGGAAGTTGAACAAAAAGTTCGAGATGATGCTAAAAAAGTGAAAGAAACTGAGCTCAAAGCTCAAGAGAAGAATACAAAGGGAAAAAACTCTGGTTGTAAAACAGCAACAACCAACACATTAGTTTCACAGTGTCTGCTTTTCTTCCTAATAGTTTGTTGGCATTTACATTAAAATTTTAGCTTGTTTTTAAACTTGATGACCTCACTATTTATTTCTATACATTACTTTCATATTCTCATTGAACTTATTGTTTTTACACTTTTCAAAATTAGGAAGTAACATACTTTTACTTTTGTCTAATGTTAGTCTTGATCTAATAATGAAATTAAAAAGCTACGGCTTAATAATTATTAGCAATTTATAAATTTTGAACCTGTAGTTAATTGTGGTTTAAATTGCTAAAAATATATTCTTGGTAAGTACTTAAGACCTATTTAAATTCTTGTAACTGCATTTATAGTAGGCCCTTTTAGCTATTAAATTTTGTTAGAGAATGTGTACAATATAATTATTGGCTAAATTCAGTAGCTTTAAAAAGTCATGTTTTCTAAACTATTTGTTTACACAATTATAATTATTTTTTTTACATCCTAATTATGCTAGATATGTCTGTGATTAATTATGAAACAAAACTATAATTTAATAAAAACTAAAAGAGCAGACTTCTAAACGCTAAAAGAAATATGGATTTCTTGAACTGTTCACGTTGTAATACCTTTAATGTTAGTCTCATGAAATCAAATAGTCTCTCACCTTCCTTCTTAAATTTGAAATCAGTTTCAGAGGGGACATTTCAAATATCATTCCCAGTGGCCCTGAATCAGCAAAGTAACGGCACAGTCCTTACTTTTGGTTTATCTTGCTCATGCTTTCATGCCATTGACACAAATCTCAGCCCACTTTACTTATAAAACTTAAAATAATTTAAATACAGAATTGTTTAAATAATACCAAAGATAATTTTAAAATCTAAATTTAATACAATATTGTAATGTTTCATCTTGTGAATATTTTGTCATTTAAAAATGAAAAAGCTTCCAAATTAAGATTTTGTTTAAATTAATGATAGCTTAAATTTGATACTGTTTTTTTTGCTGTAATGTCATTAATTTACTGTAGAATAACAAATGTGATGAAAATATTTTTAAAATATATGAAGTATGTGTGTTTGTAAGTAAAAGAATGTGTGATTTCAATATTTCTTTTTTTAAACTCATTACGTTCAAGTTGCTATTTGTTATTTTATCAAGTGTACATATGTCTTATTTTACTTTTAATCAACTTTTTTTCCATTTTTTCAGCACATTATTTTACAAATTGTCTGGTATGTTAGTGTTTTTAAAACAAATATTTTTCCATGCTTCAAATGGGCCTACTGTTTTTAAAAGAAGGATTATCAATGTTTTGGATGCAAGGTGTTTACAAGTATTATGTAGAACAGCAACATTTCAATTTGTACATTTTTTCACAATAAAGGCCTATGGTTTTAGTTGTACATTTTAAAATTCCAATTTAAATTATCCAAACTTTGTTCATACTAAAGCTAAATTTGATGAGATAAAAATGCAACAAAAATGATTAAATTGTTCATAATTTGTCTTTACACTATACTTTTTACATAAACTTTTTATGTGTTTCCTAATTATAAATTCATCATTCGTTTTGAATAAAAAATAATCTTTGAATTAATAATGTGAATTTAGTTGTTTTTAAAAACATAAATAATAATTAGTTTTTTTTTCAAAATAATTTTTTTTTCAATTTTTATAGTAGATCTATATCAGTTGTTGTTTTTAAACTCATCAAATTTTGTTTTGCCTGTATAGTTACAATAATTACATGATTTTGTTCAAATGCAAAAAATAAAAATGTAATGTTTGATGCTGTGAATGTGATGAATGAATAAAATTGTGATCATTTAAATTAATTGTACAGTTAAGATCAAATGTTTTCTCTTGGTGCTAATATTCTACTAATTGTTATTTATTTCTCGTCAACATTTTTTTGCTTTTGAAACCATTTGTCCTTAAATAATGAAATTATTGTTTATATGAAAAGCTAAAATGTTTTTGGTGAAGAAAAAAGTGATTTGCCTATTTAAAAAAATTTCTATAATATATAATTTTAATAAACAAAGTAGATGATGCTCTGTGTTTAAAGGGAAGGATAATCTCTAACATTTAAACCGTGAAGTCAAACAAATATATTTTAAACAAGTATTTTAAATTAATGAGCATGTACGTGCTAAAGACATTAATCAGAATAGAGTCTGAGACTTATGGTGAGCACTTGTTTGCTCTACTGTTAGACCAGGCTACACCATAAACTGTTCATTTAATTTTAAGCAGTAAAGATTTTTAACAATGCATTTCCTATCTTTACTTACATTCTTTAATGTTCAGAAAATGCTATAATCACGATGTTAGTAATACTGCTTTTTTCAAATATTATCCTTTCTTTACTAATGTATTTTGTTATTGTAATTTTATTTTAAAGATGACACATTTCTTTATTAGTTAAAATTCTTTACTTATGTGGAAGCTAGCTGCAATTTCCATTAATACTAATGGAAATAGTGTTTAAAAATAATTTTATGATTCGAATTTAGTAATTCTAGGTGTATTTATTAATTTAAGTGTACAAATTTAGAAACTAATTGAACTGATTGTTGGATTAGAACAATTAGTGGTCACTGAAACAATGGTGCTTGGGCTGTAAATATTTTTATCAAAGTTTGCCCTTCTGGGGAGGGGGGGGGGGGAGGGGGGAATGACCTTTATGAATGAACTCTCTGAACTCTGTGTGTGGAGGTGACTTCATGAATGATAATTGTGTGGGGAGAATGACCTTTATGAATGAACTCTCTGAACTCTGTGTGTGGAGGTGACTTCATGAATGAAAATTGTGTGGGGAGAATGACCTTTATGAATGAACTCTCTGAACTCTGTGTGTGGAGGTGACTTCATGAATGAAAATTGTGTGGGGAGAATGACCTTTATGAATGAACTCTCTGAACTCTGTGTGTGGAGGTGACTTCATGAATGAAAATTGTGTGGGGAGAATGACTTTTATGAATGAACTCTCTGAACTCTGTGTGTGGAGGTGACTTCATGAATGAAAATTGTGTGGGGAGAATGACTTTTATGAATGAACTCTCTGAACTCTGTGTGTGGAGGTGACTTCATGAATGATAATTGTGTGGGGAGAATGACTTTTATGAATGAACTCTCTGAACTCTGTGTGTGGAGGTGACTTCATGAATGATAATTGTGTGGGGAGAATGAACTTAATGAATGAACTCTGTTGTGAGGTATTGACCTGTATGAGTGAGCATTGTGGGGGGGGGGGGGGGGGGGGGGAATGCATTTTATAAATGAGGACAATCACTAATTAAAGTTGTTCTCATTATTACTTAAACTGTAACACAGCAGACCAAGGTACACGGATTCCAGTTTGGTCTAAACCATAGTACTTGAATCTGTAAACTATTTTGGTTTTTTTCAGTTGGCCAACTTTCACTGTAAAGTAGATAAAACTATTAAGTCTTATTTCAGTTGGCCAACTTTCACTGTAAAGTAGATAAAACTATTTTGTCTTATTTCAGTTGGCCAACTTTCACTGTAAAGTAGATAAAACTATTTTGTCTTATTTCAGTTGGCCAACTTTAGATAAAACTATTTTATTTCAGTTGGCCAACTTTACTGTAAAGTAGATAAAACTATTTGTCTTATTTCAGTACAATTTTACTGTAAAGTAGATAAAACTATTTTGTCTTATTTCAGTTGGCCAACTTTACTGTAAAGCTGATAGAAATGACTAGAGCATTCTTGATCATCTATCCTTAGTCATAATCCTTAACCAAACTATTCCCCAGCATTAATCCAAAAATAACTTAATCTAAACTCTAGACTTAAAAAAAGGTTGGACAATATTTTTCAATAAAATAGCATTCTAAAAAGTGTTGTTGAGCACAGGTTTAAACTTTAATGAAAAGATCTTTTTAAAATGCAAATTCAGCAACTTTGATTAGGCCAACATTAATTTTCAAACTGCCTTCTCTTTAATTCTATTGTAACGACAGCCAATAATGCCTAAATTCTATTTGCAAATCTGAATCTAAATTTCTCTCCAATTTTCATTACTCGATATAATTTTGTAAAGCATAATATAAATTAACAATCTGTATTAAATCTAACCACTGCAAAGAAAAATATTTCAGACCAGTTGTGTCGTTACAAAAATGGTAGGCCTATATAATTTATTATAATCCTGGTAGTTTGTAGACTGGCTCAAGTTATTTGGGATCTCCAACTGTTTCATGTGTATGCATGCATACAAAACCTTCCATCCTATTGTTTGATCTCTGTATTCAAATTGTGTATATTCCTAGCCACCAACTCAATGAGATATTTGTTTCCTTATTTATGAACTTTGCTGTTTTTGATTTTAAAGTTTTCTTCAACCAGCTGTAAGTTATATCTAGACCTCATGTTTTGCCGTAGCTATCATGGAACTTTTGCTGCTGATTTAATTGTGACATGCCTTTTTTTTTAAAGGTTCATTTTCTAGTATTTAAGTTATTTTAAAATTTACATTTAAAAGCTCTTGAGAGTATCCATTACATATGCACATAAATTTTGTTTGAAATGGAAATGAAATGTCATCAATGTATGCTGTACTGTTTTATTTCCTACTGAAACTGTTGAATAACCACATGTCATCTTGTAGCTACATAGGTGGTAAGTTGTTTTTGTTTTTTTCTTCTACAAATTTTCATTCAAATGTAAAACAAGTTTTGTCAGATTTTTTTTTAAAGCAAAATAAAATTTGTGGTTTTCTGTGATAGATCTATATTCTAACAAGGATGTTAGGTCAAAAAAACTTTGCTTTGTTTCTTTTCTTTTTTTAAATTAAAATTTTAAAGTTTCAGCTTTTCTTTTATGCATTGATGTTTTAGGATTTTCACTGATTGTAATACTGTCAAGTTGTTTACTGATCAATTAGCTTAAAACACATATTTAGTCTTTTTGTTTGTGAAAATATAAAAACAAATCATATTATATTATGCAGTTTCATTTCTTTCGTTTATTTTATCAAATGACCATTTCTTTATTTAATACAATAAAAAAATTTAAAATTGCGTGAAGTATTTCTTGATTTTATAAATGGTACCCATTATTAAAATCCTGGAATGGTGTAGCTAATGAGATGTGAACTCCAGAATGGTGTCTGCAGTTTTGTCATAGTTCCAACATTGGTTAAAA